CTTACAGAATTACAGAAGACACAATGCAAAACGAAACAGAAGGATAGGAAGCAGTTGGACACGGTTTTGGTCTCTGAGCGAGTTCAAATAAAAAAAGATATATTTATGTAACGCGTGCATCCTCCCGTGTAAATCGTATGGATGTTAAACATGGGCACATTTTTGTTTATACAATTTATATTTTAATATTTATAAACCACAGCTTAAAGCTACTGTACAGTCAAGTGTGCTTAGAAATCTATAAATATACGTTCTTGCCATTTTCTGTCGGTAAAATCATTGTTTTATTATTTGTCAAGTTGCCAAGTGTCAACAAGTTTCTGACGAAACTAAGTGAGAAGCTCGTTATTATATAAGTGCAAAGATTACAATGTATGCTGACAAAGGTTGGATCGAATCAGCGAACATATATATTATATATTTGTTCAGATTTCTGTATACTAAGCGGACTACTAGTTAATAGTAGTTGTTTTTATGAGTTATTTTATTGCTAGACTTAACTCTTGTTAAGACTAGCAATAAAATAACTCTAAATTCACGATTTATTTTATTTTTATTTCACTGGCATTGGCATTTCATACGTTGTAGAGCCACGCTGCAGCACGAATGGTTGTAGCACGAATGGGTCGGCTCAACCGGGGAAGAACCACGCTCTCGCAGAGTACCAGCGTAAAATATCGTAATATGTGTTTCGTATGGTGAGTGTAGAGATCCGGAGACCCTTTTTTACTGGAAACGAGGCATTCCATCTCAGTCCTCAGGGGTGACAACGCATCTGCATTTTGATTCTTAATTGAGGATAAATTTAGATGTCTATGGGCTGTGTGCTCGTTTGTCACCCTTATTCTATAAAAAAACCACCATTACTACAGCCCTTCACAAGTCAATGTTGAACATAGGCTTGCAACAAAGAACGCCACAAAAAACGGTCCTGATCCATCTGTGCCCATCGACTTCTTGTATATCTTTTCAAGTCATCCTTCCATTTTAAAAAAAATCATAAAAGGTTAATAAAATTGTATTCGAAGCGATCCCACGACGGGCAAAGTCCATAATGAGCGAGTTTCTAACGACCTTCTAATAGGAATTGCTGATCATACACTTTACAGTCGCTGTTTTCATACTTTGTACAAATGAGTTGAAATTAACAATGCTTATGTAATGCCTAAGAATGCAAATATTTTGTAGGGGGAAGAAATGTTAAAAATTACAAAGACACCTGCACAAAAATACGTTTACATCCGATGGCTAAAAAACAGTCAATAAAAAATTGACGTTTCATGATGGCTAATACAGTATAGTGTGAGTTTTTTTTTTGATTTTTTTAAATAGCAAAAAAACCACACACTAAAACTATTTTCATACCTATCCTAAAATCAACCTATAAAAATTGTAAAATTATATATATGTACAAACTGAATTACGTTTCAACGTGTGATACAAATACATACAAAGTATTTTTATAGAGTAAACAGAAATGAAAAATTAGACTAGGTAAGTAATTCTTTTATAGAATCTTAATCGAGGATAGCTTCGATTAAGAATCAAAATGCAGTTGCGTTGTCAGTCCCCTGCGGATAAAATCCGGTTCTCTACACTCACCACACCATAAACAACAGTATTTAGCTGATATTTTATGCTGGTAATCTATTTAAATAAAGGCACGTATTTAATTTCTGTTATATAAATAGAACACGCAATGATTCTTAATATATTTGTGTACATTTTCAATCATCGAATTTTAGTTTGCTTAGGAATGAAAACACTAATTTTACTGTTAAATTTTTTTTTTTATTTTTATTTACTTTTGTCTGTGAAAATGAAGCAAATCAAAGCAAAACGTTTTAATTTTTTAAACATTTATAAATAGTAAAATAAAATGTAGTTTAAATTAAAAATCGCATTAATATGTTAGTTAAAGACTCGCCGGGCGGCATTACTTAGCATATCAAACAATACTATACTTAAGTAAGGTGTAATAACAGCGATTTTCCTTATACAAACTTAGGTTCATTCATGTTATAACAAATCCAAGATTTTTTTACCTCTTTGTAACAAATACAAATTAAATACATCCGAATTATTTTGAGATTTTAACCTTTTCTTCTTTATATTATCATATTATGATGCAATCTCTGTGCAAGTGAATAATCAAACTCAATAAATTATGTTACGAATTCCATGTGATCATTTACATTTATACGTGGCAGGGCCACGTTGCAGCTATAAGCTTGTAGCACGAATCGGTCGGCTCGATCGGAGAACGAGCACGCTCTCAAAGAATACCAGCGTAAAAAAGTAACTTTAATACCGCTGAGTTTTGTATAGTGAGTCTAGAGAATCGGAGACCTTTTCTACTGGAAACGAAGCATTATATCTTAGTCTTCAGAGGTGAAAACGGGAACGTGAAAAATCTGCAACATTTTTCTCAAAAGGGATGAATGTAGATGTCTATGGGCCACAGCATCCACTCACCATCAGGTGGACTGTGTGCTTCTTGTCACCCTTGTTCCATAGTAAAAAAATCCGTACTAATAAATCAGAGATCGATTCTACAATTCAATTGGCGAGAACGCAACCATAAACACCATTACGGCGTATCAAAAGTCCACTGCTGAAGAAAGGTCTCTCCCAGAGATTGAGATTGGGGGAAATTTGCATTAGTTGCCACGCTTATCAAGCGGATTATCAACGGCAGTTTTTTTTGTTGTTTAGAGTTGTTATCGGAAGTTGCTACTGCCCATCTACTCTCCATGAGAAAAAATGGGGTAGTGAATATTCCGAAACTGCCACTACACGCTCAGCCAATGTAATTAACTGTGCAACAACTGTATCAAACATCTACATATACATAGAATCGGCAAAGCTATTGCCAACAAACTATTCGCATATCTAAAACAATTGACAAGTGCATGGCCACGGAAGATACAAAGACTATAAAGCCTTTAGATTTCATATTATAGTAACAAGAACGTTTTTTTATTATTTACTTTCGACAAAATGATGTAGGTAATTGTAAATAATGTGTATGTCAAGCAATTATTATTTTGAATAAATATATGAAGGGCGAAAATTGGGAGTAGGTACTTGAATTTATGATAACACAATCGTAATTCGACCATAGTATATATAATTAGTACATTGAATAAAATTAAATTTACTTAGTAGTGAAATAAACGCGATAAAATCCGTAAATTTAGTTTTATTCAATGTGTAGTGTTCGCGTAAATTTAAGAAATCATTAAGAAATCATTATATAATTAGTACAGTTTATATAATATGTAATGTTGGTCATGCATTGAAAAATTGTCAGCAAGAGAATAATGGGCTGTACTAAAAACGAATAGCGTCCTGAATTATCGTAATCGTATCGTAGGTAATTGTAAATAATATGTATGTGAAGCAATTATTATTTTGAATAAATATATGAAGGGCGAAAATTGGGAGTAGGTACTTGAATTTACGATAACACAATCGTAATTCGACCATAGTATATATAATTAGTACAGTTTATATTATATGTAATGTTGGTCAGGCATTGAAAAATTGTCAGCAAGAGAATAATGGGCTGTACTAAAAACGAATAGCGTCCTGAATTATCGTAATCGTATCGTAGGTAATTGTAAATAATATGTATGTGAAGCAATTATTATTTTGAATAAATATATGAAGGGCAAAAATTGGGAGTAGGTACTTGAATTTACGATAACACAATCGTAATTCGACCATAGTATATATAATTAATACAGTTTATATAATATGTAATGTTGGTCATGCATTGAACAATTGTCAGCAAGAGAATAATGGGCTGTACTAAAAACGAATAGCGTCCTGAATTATCGTAATCGTATCGTAGGTAATTGTAAATAATATGTATGTGAAGCAATTATTATTTTGAATAAATATATGAAGGGCGAAAATTGGGAGTAGGTACTTGAATTTACGATAACACAATCGTAATTCGACCATAGTATATATAACTAGTACAGTTTATATAATATGTAATGTTGGTCATGCATTGAAAAATTGTCAGCAAGAGAATAATGGGCTGTACTAAAAACGAATAGCGTCCTGAATTATCGTAATCGTATCGTAGGTAATTGTAAATAATATGTATGTGAAGCAATTATTATTTTGAATAAATATATGAAGGGCGAAAATTGGGAGTATGTACTTGCATTTATGATAACACAATCGTAATTCGACCATAGTATGTATAATTAGTACAGTTTATATAATACGTAATGTTGGTCATGCATTGAAAAATTGTCAACAAGAGAATAATGGGCTGTACTAAAAACGAATAGCGTCCTGAATTATCGAAATAATAATATTCAGAGGACTATTAAATGTCGGTAGAGCCCTAGGCTGATACTTCACCGACGCCACTCTGATGGCCATATAATCTAAAATATAACTTAATTAGGTCACGTATATTATTAGGTCAGAAGGGCGTCAATGGAAAATATGATGAGAAAGTTAGGATGATGAAGGAGTAATCAAGTAGACGGGATGTGCTTTGGAAACTATACATCTCTATTGAAAGTGCAATTCTTTTACGTGATAGTCATGCCATCTATTACTAGCTCTTCCTAAAGTCACCACTTACGGAACCTCTGACAATACACGGCAATCTTAAATACTAGTATTACCTGCAAAATCAGTTGAGAAGCGAACTAAGTACATAAAAAATAGAGGTTTGAGATGATGGCACAACCTAATTTCTTTTCCTTTTTCTATTAGTACGTAAATAATAGATTAAAAGACACTACAAAATATGTCGGAAGTATGGAACCGCTACTTTCGATACCAAACGGAAAATGTCGCCGAGGTTGATTACATTGTCATTTAATAAGGCAAGTTCCACAGTGAAACGTTGCCTTTATTTGTTCTATAGAATATTAACATCAGTTTTCACTTTCAAATCAACACCATAACTCTTCATTTACAAAAATAAAATAATCAGATGGCGCTAAATATAATATGGAATTCGAACTCACCTCGTCCAATAAAAACAGAACAGAGGCCAGGGCACGAACGTGTCGATTGAATCGCAACTCCAAATACTGCAAAATAAAAGCAAGTCATTAAACAATAAACAGAATTGAGAAATAACATGTAAAGTTTTCAACGTAATAAAGCCACGCTGCATATTATGGTTGTAGCATGAATGGGTCAGCTCGACCGAGACAGGACCACGCACTCTCTCACAGAATACCAGCGTAAAATAACAGCTCAATGCTGCTGTATTCGGTATAGTGTGAGTAGCAAACCGTAGATCCCTTATACGGGATACGAGGCGTTCCATCTTACTCCTCAAGGGCGACAGCGCATCTACATGTTAAACTTTAATGGAGGATAAAAGTCTATGGTCCAAAATATCCACTTACCATTAGGTGGACCGTGTGCTCATTTGTCACCCTTATTCTGTAAAAAAAACCTGTATTTATATTAAATAATATATTCAGACCTTTTCTGACCAGATCAAAACAGTTATCGCTCATAAAAGTCCAATGAATCTAGCATTAGAGGCCACTAAATGGAAAATTTTCTGTGATCGCCATGAATGATTGGTAGATATTACCGTCTGGAAACATCTGGAAGTTATATCCTCATACTCGCTTCTTACAAAACCCACTTGATAGAACGGGGAGATGAGTTATCTTACGTCGAAAAGTATAGAGAATGTGTTTGTTTTCAAAAACAAACACTATATAATACCTACGTATTTCCTAGAATAGGCGAGCTATCTGCACATATATACTAGCGATCTGCCCCGGTTTCACATGTGTAGGATCAATAACCGTGGTGTTATTAAGTTTACAGATAATAATTAAAGACCATTTTTTTTATAATTTTTTGACTTCTCAAATAGATTCTCAGTTTTTTTTGGATTAAATATAGCTTAGACCACTTTTGGCATCGTTCTTTATTAGTTCGCTAAGTTTTATTACAATCGGTTCAACCATTCTGAAGATTTGCCCGTTAGTCATGTCAATAAAAGGCAATTATTACTATATTACCGACAGACAAGCGGACAGACAGAAAGATAAATTTTTCAAATATGCTTAAACGTGTTTAGATGACATACAAATAACCCTCTCAGCTCAATATAAGGCAGTTATTTCTTTATTACGGACAAACAGGCGGACAGACAGTCAGACAGATAAAAATTTCTAAAATGCTTAAACGTGTTTCGATGACATACAAATAACCCTCTCAGCTCAATATAAGGCAGTTATTTCTATATTACGGACAGACAGGCGGACAGATAGTCAGACAGATAAAAATTTCTAAAATGCTTAAACGTGTTTCGATGACATACAAATAACCCTCTCAGCTCAATATAAGGCAGTTATTTCTATATTACGGACGGACAGGCGGACAGACAGTCAGACAGATAAAAATTTCAAAAATGCTTAAACGTGTTTCGATGACATACAAATAACCCTCTCAGCTCAATATAAGGCAGTTACTTCTTTATTACGGACAGACAGGCGGACAGACAGACAGATAAAAATTTCAAAAATGCTTAAACGTGTTTAGATGACATACAAATAACCCTCTCAGCTCAATAGAAGGCAGTTATTTCTTTATTACGGACAGACAGGCGGACAGATAGTCAGACAGATAAAAATTTCTAAAATGCTTAAACGTGTTTCGATGACATACAAATAACCCTCTCAGCTCAATATAAGGCAGTTATTTCTTTATTACGGACAGACAGGCGGACAGACAGTCAGACAGATAAAAATTTCAAAAATGCTTAAACGTGTTTCGATGACATACAAATAACCCTCTCAGCTCAATATAAGGCAGTTATTTCTATATTACAGACAGACACTTAAATTTTATTTATATGTATCCACTTGTAGATTTAAATTCCCCGCCGCATCCACCACTACGTGTAGGTTCGCGCCATATCAGAAACCACCATAGGGATTTTATTCGGTCTTTACCCGTAGACAGACTTGTATGAGGTAATGTATGAGGTTGGAGGAGGGAGTCTTTTTTAAATAAAAGGGGCAAACGAGCATGCGGCTAACCTGATGGTAAATGACTTCCGCCGCCCATGAACAACCGCAACACCAGGAGCATTGCTAGTGCTTTGCCGGCCTTTTAAAAAGAAGTAAGCTCTTTCATTGAAGGTCCCTAAGTCGTATCGGTCCGTGAAAGTCGCCGGTTGTAAATAATTCCACAGAGAGGTTGTACGAGGAAGGAAACTCCTAATAAAATTAAAACACACAGTGATGGCCCGCCAAGCATCCAGATGTGAAGGATGGTATCGTGAATTTTGATGCGATATGACGCTGGAACTAATCCGAACAATTTCTCAGACAACTCCCCATGGTAGATACGACAGAAAACGCAAAGGGAAACAACAGTCTAACGCAGCGCCAGTAAATCGAGCCGATCAGAAAGAACTCGTTCGTCGACGATTCGAATCACTCTGCGCTGGATGCGATTAAGTGGAAGGAGCTGGTACTGGGGTGACCCGGCCCAGACATGAGAACAGTATTGCATGCAAAGTTGCAAGCACTGTGCCAGGACTATATACTGTCTCGCTCTGCTGAGCACCCCAAGCTTTCTAGAGGTCTATTTGGCCTTCCCCTCCAAGTGACCACGAAACTACATACTATTCGATATATCGACGCCGAGGATTCCGATGCTAGCTGAGGCAGCAAGAGGAGTGCCTTCATACAGAGGAGATACGACAAAGGAGTTCATTTTAGCAGTTAATGCGCAAACTTGTGTCTTCTGGAGATCGAATTGGACTAGATTTAGTCACCCCCAATCCGAAACTTTGTTAAGCAAAGACTCGACTTCAGACACAAGTTTGTCAGTACTCGACAACGATTTCCCGAGAAATATTGGCACGGCCAGTATATAAGGCATCACCAGTGCTGTCGTCTGTCACAATGAATGTTACCAGTTTGCAACATATCATTGATATGCAGAAGAAACAGCGTTGGTAATAGCACGCAGCCTTGTGGAACACCAGCGTTAATAGACTTGCAATCAGAGCATGTACCGTCTGCTACGACCTTGATGCTCCGATTTGCAAGAAAACTAGTGATCCAATCACACAATTTTTCGGGAAGCCTATAGGAATGGAGCTTCGAAAGAAGCGCTTCGTGCCAGATACGATCGAAAGCCTTCGCTATATCCAAACTAACGACCAATGTCTCCCCCTTGGACTCTACTGCCTCCACTATTATGAGTAATGTATTATTTAAGAGTAAGGTAGACTACAAGATCACCAGCTGATCGACCACGACGGAAACCGTATTGGAGATCACGGATCAGCTGGTGATCCTCAAGGTACCTCATGAGCTGGCAGTTTACAATGGACTCCAATATTTTTGGAGAACAAGGAGGTGATGGCGATAGTTGGACGGGTCGGTCAGGACGGGGATTTTTAGGGATCAGGTGGACCAAAGCTGTCTTCCCAGAATTCGGGACTACGCCTTGGGAGTAGGAGTACTGGAAAAGATGCGTTCAAGCCGGTGCCAACTCTGGAGCACACGTCTTCAGCACAATGGTAGGGACTCCATCAGGCCCACTCGACTTGCTGATGTCCAGGGAGAGGAGCGCTTTGTGAACCTAGTGCTGTGTAAACCGCACATCCTTCATGGAGCACTCACACCGCGAGATGGTCGGCGGTGTGTTCCCCCTCATTGAGAGTAGAGTTGGACGCAAAGAAATAGCCTAACAGATCGGCTTTCAGGAGAAGTCGGTCTGTTAAGCTCCTTTGTGCAAAGGATTGCGGTATGGGCCAGTGAGTCATCCTCTCTGTGCAGAGATGGAAGAGATGACTGACAGAAGTTCTTGGCGAGAGACCAGAATGCACGTGTTCCCGTAGGAAGTCGAACCAGCTTACCGCCAATCCTACCGATGTACTCAGATCTTGCCTTGGCAATGACTCTTTTGAAGGACCTGGAGTTGGAATTATACTTCTTTTTAAGAGCGCTGGTGTTGAAATCTTGAGACGTTGATGCGTCAGCCCAGGCTCGGTAGCATTCCTGCTTAAAGCGTGATGCTATTTTACAGAAACAACCAAACCATGGCTGGGATGAGCCTCCGATGGGCACCACAGAGGACGGAATAAAAGGTTCTATACCCTGAAATACCACATCAACGAGAAGCAACGCCGCTCCCAAGGGTAGGATGTAAAAAAAGACCGCATCCTATTCCAATCGGCCGACGTATAGACATATAACAAACACGGTAGTAGCTTGCAGAATGCAACCGCGATGTTAATGTGACTTGCACCACACTCCGGACAAGACAATGGTCCGACAAGCCTAAAGGGGCGTCGACGGAAACCTGATATCCGTCCAAATGAGAGGTCAGCAGAAGGTCCAGCAGGGAAGGTGTATAATCTTCCACATCTGGAATCCGTGTAGGCGAATTAACCAGTTGTTTCAGAACATATTCCAAAGCAAAATCGGTTAAACGTAAACAGAGCCATCCGGCGTGGTGGGCGTTAAAATCCCTAAGAATCACTATCTCTGCGGATGGGATCTGCTGTAGCACGGAATCTATAGCCATTTGGACGTGGTCGAAGTGTCGGTTTGTTTCGGTATTACCAGTATGGGACCTATAGAAGCACCCGTAGCCCGTACCCGCGGGGATGGTCGTCGCTGTCTACGCGCATCCATAGGATGGACAGGTCCGGAAAAACAGATGTCCTCTCTGACGTATACGCAAATTCCAGCCTGCCAAATTGGAAAGAACACCTGAGTCTCGGTTAAAAAGAGCAAATCCGGCTAAGCCGTCTCCTGTAAAAATTCACGGATAGCGTGGCAGGGGTCGCCTTGGTGTTGTTGCTCCACTTGGCCCGAGCAGTTTTTGTCGCGAACGAAATTGCGTCATCGGGAAGCGTACCATATATTTGTGACGAATTGCTAATGATCTAAAGCCCAGCAGTGAGACGCATATAGGCTGTAACTAACTTCTATAACTTACATATATTCATAATAGGCATATAAAAATTTGTCACGACTTAACCAACATTACTTATATGTTGGTTTTATGCAATACCCACCCTGTCTAGACTAATTTT